GAACGAAGTCTAAAACAGTCTTTCCGTTGCTTTTTGACATTTTACTCACAGTCTGTATCGATAAATCAATTTGGTCTGTTTTATAGAATTCGATGTCTTCTCAGTGAGACTGACAACTTTTGGCGTATTCTAAAGTCACTGACTTTAATCAACAACTAACTTTCAGTTATGAAAATGGAAATGATTACATCACACTACAATTTAATTACCACAGAGGTTTTCCAGACTTTTCTATTCCGTTTTCTTGTGTCTGTCTAAACATAACGAAAACCGAACTAAACTGGTTTATCTGGGGTATTCTTGACTAAACTGGTTTGACACATTTATCATGTTACTCAAGAGCTGATGAGGGTACCTAAACAGATCTTCAGCTTCTACTAGAAAACTCACAAACGTAAAGTTCAGACACTTGAAATGTAATGCCATGCAGTTCTAAGGTTAGTTCCACAAAATACGTCACTCCCTAGATTTTAGTGTCACAGACAAACTGTAATTATGACTACGTTAGTTAGTTACGTATCCTTTACAGGGCGTTGCAGAACCAATCACAGCATGTTTCTTTCTTTTGTTGTTGTTGTTGTTGTTGTTGTGTGTTGTTTTCTAGGCAAGTTTACGTCCAGAAAAATGCTGTGGTTGGTTCTGCAACATCCTGTAAAGTTATGACTACGTAAACGTTTAAAAATTTCGTCAATCTTCTGTTTGTTTCTCTCTAATCTCTTTCCCTCCCTTCTCTCTCTCTCTCTCTCTCTCTCTCTCTCATTCTCTCTCTTTCTCTCTCTCCCTCTCTCTCTCGCTCTATGTGTGTGTCTGTGTGTTTGTGTTTGTTTTGTGAATGACTTAAGAGTTAACTTTTAAAACAAAAAACAAAATAGCCTTAGTTCCCATGTGTGTTAATTTTTTTTGTTTAAGTGACATCTTTTTTCTATGTTAGTTTGGATGTCACAATAAGTGGGTACCTGCAACAAAAGCAGAAGTCAGTACAGTTAAGCAGGGGCACTATTTCATATATCAACTACAAGAGACTAAAAGGAGAAAGTGAAGAAGAAGAATGAGGAGGCAGAGGAAAAAGAAGAAGAAGAAGAAGAAGAAGAAGAAGAAGAAGAAGAAGAAGAAGAAGAAGAAGAACAAGAAAAAGAACAACCAACAACAAAAACAACAACAACATCAACAATAACAACATCAGCAATAACAACAACAATAATGACAACGAAAACAATATTAACTTATAGCAGTCACCATGCAAACAGCCTATCAGCACGTTACAAAATGTGTAAAGTCACAGATTCTTGCAGTCTCATTCATGATATCTGTTGACACTTAGGTTGCCTGTACACGTCATAAAGGGCGGCGACTCGTCCAGCTCCAGTGTAAAGTGAACTCATGAAAGCCATAGAACGAAGACAAAGGTTAGATATGACACAACGAGTGGTTCACTCACCGTCTATTACTTCTACACAGTCCGACTCAAATGAGTAGGCAAACTGAACATTTCCGGTTTATATTTATTTACAACAGGGAACTTCGATTTTTTCCAACTAAATTTTTGGCCCACAATAAATCATCCGAAACACAAGCTAGCGCATCACGTTTATAGGTCGTGACACTACTTTTTCAACTTGCTTGGTGTCTACATTTAGAAACAGTACTGTCCCTCTCCATTCATTGCTTGGGCATCAACTGTAATGTAGTTTTAACCATTTATGTTACTTTCTGACTATGCTGTATTTTTAATAACGATAATATTTGCTACGGCTATTCATCTGTGTCAGTTTATTAATTATTACTGTCAATATTACAATATATGTTCACAAAAACTGTATGCTGCTATGGGATGTAATTTTTTACTTCTACTGTTACTAACGAACCTGCTTGTGGTAGAGAACGACGTCATTTCTTTGTCCTGGTGAGTAACGTTCACATTTACTTGTGTCTTTTCCTTTGCAATAGGTATTTATGCGCCTGCGAGGCTATGAAGCAACAGTCTATGAACCAGATATGTAACAGTGAAGTGCGCTCACAACTCAAGTTCTCAAACAGGACTAAAGTCGAGATGTGAACAGATAATGAAAACATTTTGCAAGAGTCAACAGTAGGCCAACTCTAAGGAAAAAAAAAACTGATGTCTTTATTTTCCTTTTCTTATATCTTTGTGGCTCGCTTGTTAACGCCCTTTGTAGTATGTCTCGCTCCAGGTCATTGGCCTTGTATTAGACTCCTACGCACAGTTTACCAGTAACCCGCGTAACATTACATTCATAAATTTGTACTCTTAACCATTCTCGCCCACTCCCTCACACGCCACCTCTCCCTCTCTGCTCGAACCTACTTATATTGGTGTGTTCACGCTATTCTGAATTATCCTTGCGACAAGATCAGGACTCGGTTTCTGATTGACATTAATTATTCCGAACCAAGCCTTACAATTATACGCATAATTATAGGAACTCTGCTACTATACTCTTTCAACGGCATACAACTCTTCCTGCCTTCATTTCTTAGTCAAAGAAACAGTTTACTTCTTGACAATTTTCTTTAGACTAGAGATGTAAACATTTGTTAGTCAGAGAAAGCGTAAACTTTTTGAAACTCTTTATTAGAAGATAGTTGTTGTCATTTTTAGTCAAAGAAATGGTATACTTTTTGAAATCTCTAGACGATTAATGTTAACATTTGTTGATTAAGGAAAAAAAAAAAAACAGTATACTTTTGAAACTCCTCTTTAGAAGATTGACTGTTACACCTACCCGCTCTATCCAGATTATTAGTTCAGAACATGCTGTTCCATGGTGTTATTATTTAAATAATTACTTTAAAGCGAACCATCTATTACCTTAGACTTTAGCTTCTTGACCTAGAACCAGTTCAAGTGGGTGCTACTGAAAACTAGGCTACATAAAAACTTTGTTTATTGTGAAAGTTAGGCTTTCGCTTCTCTTTATATTAGACTACTTAAGAAGGATCTGATACTGCTACTCCAGTTCAGTGATTCGTGATCGATCAGGTGCAAATCTGCAACTTTTTTTTTTAATTAGGTGCCGCGGGACAGGTCAAAGGAAACAGGCAATTTGTTTTATTGTTCAGAAAACAAGACAGAAAGGTGAGTAGTCTACATTCGAAAGGTCGCAGTTTGCAATATAATGTTACTTATTTGTGGCGTGCAAATTTGATTTCTGCTAACACAAAAAGACACGACCACCATTCACTTGCCAAGAATTCACAGAGATTTGGAGTCTGGTTTACTGTAAATTTTCTTGTACGAGAATTCCTCACCAATTCCAATTCCTTCTAAGAAAAAAATCAAAAACTCAGCCACTTCTCAGTCTTCAGAATCGTTCACACATGACACGGACGTTTAAGAAATTCAAAAAAAATCAAAGTGTAAAAAAAAAAATAGTATGTTTTAACCAGTCTTTATAAGACCCCCCCCCCCCCCCCCCCTTCCTTTTCCACTGAGGCCCTGAAAACCTGAGGACTCAGGTCTCTGAAGGCCCGCACTCTCATAATTAGGTAAGGAGAGTAAGCAACTCCCTTTAACCATGTATATACATTCTTTTTACAACTATTTGTTCTTACATTTCATATTATTTGAAGTAAGGCCAAGGGAAACGCCGGTGCAAAACAAAACTGTGAATTTTATACTAGAGACAACATTGTAGATATAGATAATATATTTCAAGCGATCGAATGACAAAGAAGATATACAATGAATTATTTTTATATTTATTTGCCTATTAATAATGATGATAATAGTAATAGTTATTGTTATGTTTATGCAAGAAGCAAGTTCTGATGCAGACAACGTTGATCTTTATAATTATGAGGAAGTACACACATCAGAAGAAGTAATCGATTCCCCCACATTAAACGAACTACTATTTGCTTACGACCAGTGCTTGTTCTACCCTGAAGAAGACCACAAGACCACATTAACAGGTTAAACTCAGCATGCAGTAAATACAACACGAAGATCAATGCAAACAAAACCGAAACAATGCAAGTTAGTAGAACACCTGGCCCACTATACATACAGATGAATAGTTCTGGTCTGCGTCAAGTTGAGAGTTTAAATAACCAGGAAGTATGATCACGAAAGATGGTAGAATTGACAGAGAAATAGAAACCAGATGTCAGAAAGCAAGTGCACTTATATACCAAATGTCACCATTATTAAGATATCCAAGCATAACTATAAGTGCAAAGAGACAGATTATACATTTGTGAGCAATCCACAAAAGAATAATAACTTTAAGACTTATCATAGATGAATGTGTTGAAAACCACAACCCTTTATTTAATTTACTTTACAGAGACCTTTGATATATTTCACAAGACAGCATTACTGATAATCCAGGAATCTTTTGATATACCTGTAAAGATAATATCAAAGCGATGAATGCTCACGGTAGGCAGTACGCACTGATGATAGTTTGACTGATTGGTTTGCAGTAGAAACTGAACTGAAATAAGTATGTAGTCTATATGCCTTTTTTTTTTTTTTTTTAATGACTTTTGAGAATGTTTTTTTTTTTGAAGATGGCATTTATCTGTTAAATAATAACCATAATGACCAACGGAAAAATACATTTAAATTAGTAAAAATAACATTAAAGCTCGGATTAAAAATCATTTGTGAAAGAAAAAAAAAAGTTAATGACAAATCAAGAAGATGTCGCAATTGAGACAAAAAGAAACAAAATTAAAGTAACATAAAGTTGTATCTATTTAGGTAGCAGCCTTGATTGCCCAGTAACCACTACAAATAAAGAACGCAGCAGCAAGGTATCATCATAAAACAATACTTGTAATGAACGTAGTTGTGCAATCAACTTGACCACTGTGTATCCGGGACGCCAGGTTTCTTAAGTACGTTCTGACCAAATTTAATCGAAATAACTATACATAATACGATGGCTAGAATTCACGGGGAAGATTCAGTCTAATACCTCTTTAGTCTAGTGGATTGCAACTAAAAGAGTCAATAGTTTTTCTTCTATTCACAGATGAATGCCTTCACATTTGAGAACGTCATTCTTGCAGACGATGGACTCTTGCAGTTATTCTCTGACAATTTCACAATCTACAATAATGAAACCTTGAACGGCAGTGTTTCAGTGACAAGCCATCCACACCAAACAGACTCGATGGCAAACTTCACCGGCACCGCTCCAACTGAAGATCCACCCCAAGGTAGCTCGAAAATGAAAGTACAAGGGTGCACGATGAACTATGTTGACTTCACTCGTTACCCGTATCCAGGAGATACAACGGTGGCGCCTGTCATCTGGGAATTGGCGCTTAAATGCTCCTTTCTGTCAATCATCTCCTTGCTGGCAATCATTGGGAACATACTTATAATTGTCATCGTTATATTCTCGAAAAAGATGAGAACAACAACAAATTATTACATCATTAATCTGGCAGTTTCTGACTTGATGATTGCTTGTTTGCCCACCTGGATCTACCTGGTGAAAAACATCACATCGGGATGGGTCCTCGGAGCCTTTCTCTGCAAGTTCAACGTGTTTGTACAAGGTAAACTTTCCCTCAGTGTTTCTCCAATGTAAAACTTTCCTCTGCGTTTCTACATGGTAAATTTTTCCTTTGTGTTTCTCTAAGGCAAACGTTCCAAATGTTTCTCCGGTGTAGACACTCCCTAGTGTGTCTTCATGGCAAACTTTCCCAGTTGTTTCTCCGTGTCTGACTTTCCCCATGTGTTTCTTTACTGTGAACATTCACCTGTCTTTATCTACAATAAACGTTCCCCAGTGATTCATCGAGGTAAATTTTTCTTCCTGTTTCTGGGAAATGTGTGTTCTGGCTACTGTGAATGAACCAAGGAGCTTTCTCTATATTGTAAAGGTTACAAATTGAGTATGCAGGCGTGTCTTACATTCGGCTCTGTCAAGCACACATCTTTCACACGCCTATTGTATTTTCTTTCCCATAAACAAAGCATGTTAAGTTGGTATAACAAAATACATAGTATGCGTATAAAGTAAAAACTCAAAGGTGTGCAGTGTAAACCTAACAGGTAGCACAGTCTTTTACGCGTGGACTGGAATTGACATGGGGTGGGGGGGGGGGAGGGGGGAAGGGAGGCAGGCACACTTATCCCGTTGTTTGGAACATAATTAATTTGTAGGTATGGGAGTATCCTAGAATCAACGGGCAATGCCTGACGATTATTGAATGGCTGCATCAGAAACAGAAGCAATTCAATTGAGAGCAGTCGAAAAGCAGCAGTAAATCGTTGTTTATTACCAACAGCCAAAAAGGTTAAACAATTTGCACAAAAAACCATCGTAAAATGTTTCTTTTTCTTCTGCGTTCGCCATTAACAGCACTGTTGGCTGGTCGTGTTGTGGTTTACAACTAGGGTGTGACATCTGCACCTTTCGGTCCAAAACGTCAGATTTCAGCAAATCCTTAATTTGTCGCCTTTTATAACATGCGTGATAAGGAGCAATGGGTCTATTCATTTTCCTCACAAAATGAGGTCCCAGAACCGACCCGGGGACATCACCAAGAAACGATAAATTGACTGAATAAATAAATGAATCAAGAATTGATATCATTGCATTCGAGACATTCAAACTCGTGTTCCACCCACTTCGTCAGTAGCCAGGGAAGAGTCGTCATGTTAATAGTGCCAGTTGCAATCTGATTAAAAGTCTGCCTCTGCTTCCCCCTGAGTGTTGAATAGCTTCCAGAATGTTTACACCCCCCTCCCCCTTTTTTTTTCTCCAACACACTCTACTGGATCCCAAAGTGCCTTCACCTTATCATTAAGTATCTCACCCCCCCCCCCCAGATGCGCGTCAGCAGCTAATTTATCAGCCTGCTCGTTAACTCGCACACCTGAATTTCATGTAATACGTTGATTTAACTGCCTCAGTACCATGACACGAATGGTGTTGTTATTTAAATTCCTTCAGACACAAACATATGTTAATTAAAGTAACAAATCCTTACGATAAAATGAGTTAAATTAACACTTGTCTGGGACTCCAGGAGTTAACACCACCAGGGATTCTACGTCGGACCTGTTCATATATAACTAGAAGATACTGGAAACAACCTAGGCGGGGCGCGAGGGGTCGGGGGGGGGGGGGATTGATCGGAACTTCTAGGTCTACCCAAACTAAAACTGTTAAAAAGGAAAGTTCTGGGTAGCAAAAACACCTAACGTGATACAGACCAAATCATGTGTACAGTTGTAAACCTAATTTAATAAACTCATCCCACTTCAAGGCCTGGAAAAGGTTGGTTTCCTCGCATGAGTGCACAGCCTGGGACAACGCCTTCTTGTGTTTGTGCAACTTTCAGGCAAGCAAAAAATCTGCCAAGAAAAGTGCATTTTTTAAATAATTAACAAACATGATTGTGTCTGATCAGTGATTTTCTCAGAGGAAAAAGTAGGGATGCTAGACAAAAGGACTGTTTGTACATGGTGCTATTGTTCACGTCGTTAGTAAGAGAGTACATACATCTGAGAGTTTGAGTACGTGTGAAATTGGAAACACAAACACGGCAGTCGTGGGTTCTTTTGTTTGTCTGAGTACGTTCTGTGAGACAACAATGGATTCTGTCCTGAGATAAATGGAACGGACAGTCTTCAGTGATAAGGAACATAGAGTTCAATTGCTAGCATGGGCCATATATGTGTGTGTAAATATATCATCATCATCGTCATCATCATCACGTAGTTGGTTCTTTGCAGAACGTCGCTCTCATCACGGTCTGCCTAAAAGAAAACTTGGTCTCTCGTCAGCTCTCCCGCCTCATGTACTTTCATAATTAGGGAGTCACTTATATCCTGTGCTCATCTTCGTGTCCCGTCAGCCCCTACCCCTCCTTCCTGGTACCATGCCTTCCGCTATTTTTGTTTTCCTAATCTGCTGTGGTGCTTAATATGACCAACATATTTCAGCTTTCGAGACAGAATGTTGTTTATTAGCCAATCTTTATGGTTGATGTTCAGATCTTTCAAGATGTCAGTATTTCTCCTCTTCTTTGTCCAAGATATTCTAAGAATCTTTCTAAAGCTTTTCGGCTCAAAAGCCCCTTTTCTCTTTCTCAAGGACTGCGAGATAGTCCATGATTCACATCCGTATGTAGCTTCGGGGAAGATGCATGCTCTCAAAATTCTAATTTTGATCTCCTTGCTGGTGCCTAACCGTATACTTTTTAGGCTGTTTAATCTTTGCATTGCTATGGTCATTCTTTTAATTTCTATCAAACAGTATCAATTGCTGTTTATTATAGAGCCTAGATATTAAAAATTTGTGACATTTTCAATTTCTTTATTATTTATGTATATAAATATATATTTGTGTGTGTGTGTGTGTGTGTGTGTGTGTGTGTGTGTGTGTGTGTGTGTACGTGCTTTAATCATTATAAAACATAATACCAATGCTCTTCTTTTTCTTCTTTCCTCTACTACTAAAATAGCTGGCTCATTGTCTCTATAGCACATGCAATCCTACTTCAAAGTGGCTTGCTCCTACGACATGCTTGTTGGGGAGGCAGTGGGTCAACTCTTGTTTTTTCCCACAATGAAGCCCCGGACCCTACACGAGAAGAGTCTGTAATAAAAAAATAACAAAGACATACATAGAAAAATAAATAACAAAGACGTGCAAAAAATAAAAATAAATAAACAATTTGTCGTCTACAGCATCAAAACTAGGACTACAAATAAGTTATGAGAAAGAAAATATAATAAAGATTCCAGCATTAAATCAAGTAGATGTCAAGCTAGAGAACAAACTAATAAAAGTAATGGACCATTCATATGTTTGGGTTGCAATGTTGACACTCGGTGAGATACAACAAAAGAAATGTATGATACGGATTGGCAAAGCAACACCAGTCTTTAAAAGCTTCAACAAAATATGGAGTTCCAGGTTAGACATTTTTAAAGACCAAACTATGATTCTTCAATTCTAACGTTATTTCAATTCTAAAATAGGCTAGCGAAAGTTGGAGAACTACCAAGGATAGGGAACAAAAGTTCAATAAATTAAAAAAAAAAAAGCCTGAGAAACATCTTGTACATAAAATGGGATTCATTTTTTTTTAAGTTTTTTTTTTTTTTTTAAAGAGAAGAGATAAGAAATTACCTGGACAAATACCAGTATAAACTGAAGTAAGACAAAGAAGGTGTGGATATACTGGGCACATTTTGAGACGAAATTATCAAAAGAATTACACAACAAGACTAAAGTTAGAAACAAACGGTCTCAGAAAAAGAGGTCGTCCAATGGAAACATTAAAAAAAAAAAACATTATAACGAAACCTCAGAACGCTGGGCTGAACTCCATTTCACAATAGAGGGGTGTGGAGGAATCCAATGTGCTCCCTATGTGACGTCAAACGGCACGCAAAGGATGATGATGATGAGTGAGCAAAGCTGGCCCAGTAGTTACAACGTCGGACTCTCATGCAGGAGACGGAGGTTCGACCACGGGTAAGGTGATGACGTTTTTCTATCGGAAGCGAAATTAATAATAATAGCCTGCAAAGTCAGTTGCGGCATCACTAGCCTTGCGGCGCTAAACCCCCAGGCTCACGAACCTTTTGTCTACACAGCGATAAATAAACGTGGTAAATACAGATAGTTGCAGAACCAACCTCAACAGCACCTGGCTGTTGTGTGGTTTTTCTATGCAAATTTACGTCCAGTAGGCTGCCATTGCTTCCTGGACGGTCGGCTTTCTTGATACCACTGTCGAAACCAACACAAGGCGCATGGCCCGCAGCTGGGATCGGACCCGGCATCCCGGCATTACGAAGCGTTTGCATCGACTTAGCCACAGAGCCGACAAATACAGATAGTAGTAGCAGTAATTATACGAATAGCAAGGGCATGAATTTCAATTCAACCAGGAACGAAATAGGTATGACGGATTTGCTGTAGATGAATATGCCAGCAAGACCATATACATCCTGAGAATCTTAAGGAGAGAGAGCATGATCTAAATAAAAGAAAATGCTATCAGAAAAGGCTGTAAAAAAACGTTACCAAAAATGTTTGTGATAAGTTGTCTGCGAGCTCTTGCCTATTTCAAAACATCCGGGTTGCTCTTTTTAGCTGTCCAGTGAGTTCTAAGGATTCTTCTGTAAAATCACATTTTCTGAGGACTCAAGATATTCTTTAACTTGTTTTTTTTTTTTTTTTTTAAATTGTCCAGAATTCACAATTGTATGTTAAAACTGGCTCTATACAGCCTGTGATACACTTCCAGGACAAAATGGCAGCGGTCATTGTTGTGTTTTTTAACCGCCACCAACAACGCATAACGAAAATGGAATTCTTTCATTGTTTATAGGGTGATGCAAAAGTAGCAATGGAAGTCCATTTTTGAAAGATTTTCGTTGATGCTAAGGAGTTTCGTGCATCTGAGCTGAAACCATACTGAATATATGTTCAAAGAGTTCAATGGTTTTGACGTATCTGGTGTCATCATAGGGGAAAACTGTTGTTTTTGGCCGGACAAGTAAGACCCGCAGAGTTATGCGAGGACAGCGC